GGATCAGAGAGGGGTTGAGGAGGGCAGGAGGAGATGTGGGAGGGAGCGAGGCGTGCTGGTCTATGCACTGGGTTGGAGGGAGACTCCTCAGGACGAGGTGTGCAGAGGAGTGTCTGAGTACCTGCCGGGTTTCTGGTCCTTTGCTGAAGAGGGCCCTAGGAGAACAGGTGGGTGGGGAAACTGAGGCCCAGAGGGGGACACAGCCACGCCCCACCTCATTCTCCCCTCCACCCCCAGGCAGAACTATGAGCTCCTGTAGGGTCGGGATGGCAGTGCTGGTGGGCAGAGCTCGGGAGAACTGGCAGCTTATCCGGGGAGAGCTGGGGCAGGGCAGTGCCAGGCCACAGGCGGTGGGGGGTAGGGGGCCAGGGACTGCCCTCTCCCATCCACCGCCTCTCGAGCCTGCAGAGTGTAGAGAGCAGCTGGAACTGCCTGCAGGTGCCCCAGCTAGTGGGATGGGGGAGGGCTCCCCCAGGGTTGTGGGGGGCGATAACCACCCCCCCCACCCAGGCTGATAAAAACAGCCCAGATCGGCAGGGAGGAGGCAGATGATACCAGCGGGGCAGGCTGTGGGGGCGGGGGGCGCCGCCCTGGCTCAGGCGATTCCTGGAATAGAGGTTACACAGGCACCAGGGCCGTTGAGGGTTGTCCCCTGCCTACCCCCAGGTACCCAGAGTCTGGAGCAGGAGGTCAGGAGGTCCTGGCCTGGGCTGGGCCTCAGGTGGACCTCCTTTTATGGAGAAGGGAGTAGTGATAGTTTTGGTTGGGGGGGGGCGAGGAGGACAGGGGTATTCAAGATGCTGAGCAAACATTATCTGCTGTTGCTCTTGTTGGAGCCAGAGCTTGATCCCCTAGGCTTTCTCCCTTTCCACAGATATGCATTAAGCACCTGCTGTATGCCAGGCCTGTGCTGGGCATTGCTGGGGACCCAGCCGTGAATGAAGTACCTGCTTTCAGCTCCTATTGGAGTGCAGGGGTGCAGATACTATACCCACAAGATGCGCGCGTTTTTGGAAGCCTGGCACAAGGACAGAGAAGCCGACTAAGGGCACTTGGGGGGCACCAGGCCACTGTGAGGGGCAGTGCTGCTCAGAGAAGCTCCGAACAGCAGGATCAGCCATTAGCTCTGACCCTAGGCCAGGGCGGAGCTCAGGAAAGCTAAGCGCAGTCTGGGTGGCCCAGGCGGGAGCTGCTGGACTACTGCACTAGTCCAGGCGTGAGCTGGGAGGGGCAGGGTGGGGTCTGGACAGATCCCAAAGGCGATGGGATTTGGCTGGCGGGTGGCACATGGGGAGGTTCGAGATGGACACACGGGCTGGTATGCCTGCCTGTGTGTTTGGCGGGAACAGCAGAGGGTTTGGAAAGGGGAAGTCTACTGGAGGAGTGGGGATGGGGGAGGCAGGAAGCTTTGGCTTTGGGAAGTCAGGGGAGCTGGGGGCACAGTGGGTGTGGGGGTTGCTATGGCCCAGATGGTATTCGAGACCCCACCCCCAGGCTGGTGCGGCCTCACCACCAGTGTTCCCCCTTTTTTGCAGCGGCTCCCAGAAGCAGCTGCCTATGGGTTCTATAGAACCTGCTCAAGGATCACCTTAAGGAGCCCCTGCCCCTCCCTGGGTGGGTAAGAGGCCTCCCCCGGCCCCAGCCTTTCCTGGCTCTCCTGGAATGCTTGCTTTGCGGCTGGGGCTGGTCTTCCCTACCTGTGCCCTCCCCTACAGACCCGACCCCATCTGTGAGGTGGACGAGTGCCCCGGCAGGCAGCCGGCCACAGCTCCCCTCCCCACCCAAGCCCCCCCAGACAAGCTCAGGAGGTGACGCTTCCCTGTTGGAACCAGGGCCTATGGCACAGTCCCGCAGTCCCGTCTCCAGGCCGTCTCAGACGGGGCCGGGCCAGGTTTCCAGGACTTCCTGGCCTCCATTTTTCTGAGCCTGCCTGTTTCCGAGGCTGTCCTGAGCTCACCCGGGCCCAGCCTGAGTCAGAGGGTCAAGTCCACCGTGGCCCCGCCCACTCTGCCCTCCTGCGTTGTCCCCACACACCGCATCCTCCAGGGGCTGCGTCCCGGCCCGGTAGAGCCGAGCAGTCGGGTGGCTGTGCACCTGGGGGCCCGGCCGGCTGGGGGCCAGCGCACTCTGGGTCCCCACAAGTTCACCCCACCCTCCTCCTTGCGGGCGGATTGTGTGAGAGGCAGGGCCTGGCATTTCGCAGACGCGCTTCGCCCAGCGCGGCGGGGGTGGGTAGCCTGTGCACCCCCTGCCCTGCCACCCACGTGCGCACGTGCGCGCCCGAGTCTCCGAGAGCGGGGCGGGGCTGGCAGGCACCCAGGCCGGCAAGGCGACCCTGGCCCCAGCGGGAGTGGAACCACGTGAGCTGGGGCTGTGGATGTCCCCGCCGCCGCCGAGCTACGTGCGGCAGCTGTGTTCCCAGCGGCCGCGCGCCCCTGCCCCGCTCGCCCCCCTTGGCAACCTGCTCCTCTTTGCAAACTGGAACTGGGGGAGAGGGAGTGGGGACCAGCCCCACCGCCCTGAAAGGGGAAGTGAACCATCTGACTGCCTGCCACCCAGCCGTGGGATGTCCCCCCTTCCCTCCTGCCGCCTCCCCGCCTGTGCCTTGCAAGATGGCGACACGGCGGCATGTTCCCTGGAGGGGCGCGCGCCCCCATCCTGTGGTCTGCTCCAGGCGCGCTCCCACAGCCAGACCCCCTCCCCAGACTGAGGCCCTTGGGAGCTGTCAGGGCCCAGTGGTTGAGATGGGAGTGGGGTCCCTTCCAGGGCTGCTTTGCGCCTCTTGCTTTGGTTGTAGAAGACCCCCAGCTGAGGGACCCCCGACCCCAGCTGCTGCTGTCTGCATCCTGGGTTGCTTGGGGGTGACTTGGGGTGTGGAGCAGGCAGCCCCAGGGATTTGAGGCTAATGTTGGTCGTGGTGACAGTCGCTCTCTCCCCCTCTCCAGCCGCCTGGACTCACAACCTCTTGGGGAGGGGGCTGCTGGTCTCTGTCTGCTTCTGTTTTGCTGAGGGTGTCAGCGTTTGGCAGGGAGGAAGGATGGGAAGGGAGAAGGGAAGGTGTAAACTTTCACCTCTTCTCGGGTCACGAGTGATCGCTGGTGCCCCTCAGTGGGCAGACCCCTTCACCCTCCCGTCCCCTCCTCAGCCAGGCTCCCCAGGGCAGTCCCTGATCTTCTTAGAGCAGAGATGTCACCGGGTCACCCTGAGCGTGGCCGTGCCCCTCCTGCCGACTCTGTACCCCCTCACCACGGTCCCTGCTTTGGGTCCTTCCAGGCCCCTGGCTGGCTGCAGTTCTTCACTGACTGGTGGGAGTGCTCCCAGGGCAAGAGCAGTCCCCAGTGCTGGGCGTGGGCTGCCCAGTTTGTAGTCCACCAGCTGAGCACCCTCCTGGCCGCCCCGGCCCTGCTGTGGCTTCCTTGAGGATAGGCTTTGGGGCCACCCAGGGGAGTTGGTTCTGATGTCTCTCTTGCTACTCAGGGCTCCAACCAGTGCCACGAGGGGCACATGCGCTCAGTCTCCATCCACGCAACCCACCTGTAAAACCCTGGGATGTCGGGAACAACATCTGGGAATGCCAGGGTCCCGGGTACCTGGTCATGGCCCGAAAGGGTGGGAGCTTCGGGGACGCAGGGCCCTTTGTCCTGCACTGGGCCCTGGGTGCAAGTGGACTGACCTGGCCCTCCCCAGTCGTTGGAGACCCCTATCTGCTGGGGAGACGCTGACATCGCGATGCCACATGCTGTGGGTGTGAGACCCTGGCTAAAGGGAGGGGGTCAGGCGGCAGAGTTCTCGAGCAAAGACCCACACGGGGTGGAGGCACACAGGCAGGCCAGGATGGCGACGGCTGCTTAAGGGGCAGGATGGGCGAGGCCCGGCCTTGGCTGTGGGAGGGGTCTGTGGAGGAAGTGGCCGGGTGGTGGCCCGCCCCTGCCCAGCGCCATCTGTACTGCGGGGGCGGGGCGAGTCCAGCCCGCCAGGCCCTTCCCCTTCCCGGGAGACCCCGCCCCCTCCCCTCCCTGTGAGCTTTCCTGCCTGCCTTCCATCTAACCACACCCCGAGTTCGGGGCCCGGACTGACTGTGCCTGCGGGTTCCTCCTACGTCCCTCTGCTTTCGGAGGGGCCGGGAGGGTTAGGGAAGTTGCCATGATTGTACCCCCATCCCAGGTGGTCATTTGGAAAAGGAGGGGATCATGCACAGACGGGAGGCCCCTGAATGTCCCTCGGGAGGGGCAGGGACAGCCTGACCTGTGTGCTCCGAAAGACCAACATGCCTTCTGAACGTGCCTGTGCCTGGGACAGACACTGGAGGCCTTTGCGAATCCCTGCCAGGGTCCCGCCTGGGGCCAGAGGCTGCGCAGATCTGGGGAGCTTCAGCCTTGGGGGTCTGCGGGGCTTGCTTACGGTTAACAGATCCTGGGCTCGCCGCAGAGTCCTTTCTTTTTTTATTTATTTATTTATTTTTTTTTTGGAGACGGAGTCTCGCTCTGTCGCCCAGGCTGGAGTGCAGTGGCCGGATCTCAGCTCACTGCAATCTCCGCCTCCCAGGTCTACGCCATTCTCCTGCCTCAGCCTCCCGAGTAGCTGGGACTACAGGCGCCCGCCACCTCGCCTGGCTAGTTTTTTGTATTTTTTAGTAGAGACGGGGTTTCACCGTGTTAGCCAGGATGGTCTCGATCTCCTGACCTCGTGATCCGCCCGTCTCGGCCTCCCAAAGTGCTGGGATTACAGGCTTGAGCCACCGCGCCCGGCCAGAGTCCTTTCTAAGAGCTGGTAGGAAATAAGAGGATTATTTAGGGTCTCGTGTGGGGCCACCGGAGCGTGGGTAGGGGTTGTGTTCTTTACACTTTTCCATGTTTTAAATTCACACCCAGAACTCAGCCTCTAAAACAGCACAGGACAAATGCTTGCCACCCTTTGGGATCCACCCTTTGGGATCTGCTGGCATGTGTCTGTCATCTCCCTCGCCGCTGACTGCTGTCTGTCTCTGTCTCTCTGTCCAGGGGAACGCCCTTTTGCTTGTGACTGGCAGGGCTGTGACAAGAAGTTCGCCCGCTCTGACGAGCTGGCCCGCCACCACCGGACACACACGGGCGAGAAGCGCTTCTCCTGCCCTCTGTGTTCCAAGCGCTTCACCCGCAGCGACCACCTGGCCAAGCATGCCCGCCGCCACCCCGGCTTCCACCCGGACCTGCTCCGGCGCCCTGGTGCCCGCAGTACCTCCCCCAGCGACTCGCTGCCCTGCAGCCTGGCCGGGAGCCCTGCGCCCAGCCCCGCGCCCAGCCCAGCCCCCGCAGGCCTGTAGGGCCCTCGTCCAGCCCACCCTGACCACCAGGATGCTTCTGCCATCCAGGGGTGTAGTGAGGACCCACGGGGAGCCCAGTCCCCTTCCAGCTGTGGGCAAACCCTGAAGACACCCCTGCCCCCCTCCAGAGAGCAAGGAGGGGGCCTGAGACTGGACCCGGGTCTGCCTGACCTCAGAGGTGGCTCTCAGGACGGGTGACGGGGGCTTGTGTTTGTAAATAGCCATGATACTAACTTTCTTCCCATCTGTGCAACGGGGCCCCCCCGGGGCAGCTAGGAGGTCCTCCCCTCTCCTCTCCACCACCCCCTGCTGCCCCCCTCCCGGGGTGGGGTTTGCGGGGGTGGAGTGGACTTCTGGGAGCTGGCCCAGGGAAGGCACCCCCTGCCCCATCCCTGCAGGTTGGGATGAAGCGTGCAGACAGCCATAGAGGAGCTGGGGGTTGACACGGCCCCTGCCTCTCCCCACCCTACCCCACCCCACCGAAAGCCATGGGAGTAGTTCAGGGAAACGGGGGTGCAGCCCGGCCGCCCCCCACTCGGGTACTCAATCTCAGGTGTCCACAGGTTCTGCCCACGTTAGGGGCTGCCCATCCCCCCAGACCTCGGGGGTAGAGCCAGGAGCGGGGAGACGTTAGGATGCCCGGAGGGGCTCCAGGTCTTGCTTCTGAGACCTGCGATGGGGAGGGAGGGGACCTCTGGGTTCTTCCAAAGAACATTTGACTCAGTGGAGGTTGGGAGGTGGGAGGCGGATATCGGGGTCAGGAGGGAATGCCGGCTTATTTATTTTCCTCTCTCCTCCGGTGTGGGGCCCTAGCTCCCCCTCTCTGGGTGGGTGGGAGAGAGAGGCTGCAGGGGAGGGTGGCACTGGGCCTGGCCCTCCAGCCCGTGCCCTGCCGACTTTGGCCTTTGCGGTATCACGTGACAATCAACTCCCTTAAGGACGCCTGCAGCCATTGGGCCGCACTGCCCTCCCTGGCCTGCAGGTGGGGCCGTAGAGCCCATGCCCACCGGGGTTGCAGGCTCTTCCGGGCGTGGGCTGCAGCCTGGCCAGGCCCTGCTTCCCCCACCTCCCCTCCTTCTCCTGGGTGCCTGGAAGAGGTGGGCCCTGGCCCATGGTCGAGGTCCTGCCTCATGGACTGGAAACAGAGGGCTGGCTGTGCAGCCTCCTGGGGTAGTTCGTTTTTTTTGCACCGGGTAGAATATTTTTTCAGGCACGGATTCCTTTTTTCTGGGCCCCCGTGGGTGGTCCGGCATCCTCAGGGGGTGTGAGTGTGTGTGTGGGGGGGTCTCTGAGCTGAACTTGGGTGGGTGGGGACTTGTCCCTCGGGGGCCACCTTCGTGTCCTTGCCAGGGGTCGTCCTGCTGTGGCCTGGGTTGCATTTCCTCTTGGGGGGTATTGAGGACCCCCCCAGCCCGGAATGAGAAGGGTCCTAGGTTCCACGTCCAAGACCCGGAAAGGTGAATCCCCTCACTGTTGGCTGCAGGAGGTTTTTGGTACCCCCTTTTGTTCCAGAACCTTCCTGCATCTCGCTTGGGGGCAGGGGGGCTTCGGATGGCCACTGGTGTGCACCTGGACCCAGCCCCGGCCTGGCAGGATCCAGGGATGGGTGCCTGGGGTCCTGCGGGCAGGGAGGCAGGGGACGCCCTTCTGGAGCTGGGCTCGGAGGGTCTGCCCCATCCAGCCCTAGGCTCTCTGTATTCTCTGTCCCCAGCCTCAAACCCTCCTCTGGCAGCGCTAGTGAGATGCCTTAGTGTGTGGGGGTGGGTGGGGGACTGGGGCCCCGTTTTCCTTTAGTGTCTTGTTGGCCCCAGCCCTGGCCGGGGCCTGTCTGGAGCAGGGGTGGGTAGGGCTTTGGGTTCCATAACTCTCTAAGTGGGCCCCTCTCCAGTATCCAGGGGCCTGGAGAGACCTGCGCCCACCCCTCCACTCCCCCAGGAGCCGCTGGTCACTGGGACTTGGTTCCAGCCGTCTGCAGGGGAGGTGGCTCCAAGGGGCGTGTGCTTTCCGTGGGTGGCGCTCCTCCCCCACCCTGCCTGGCCTCATCCTTGTATTTAATTAATTAAACGAGCCCCTTTTTAAACCCTACTCCAGTGTGTGTGTGGTCTCTCCCGTGCCAGTACCCAGCCTGTGGGCACGCTCTGAACCCCTCTGTCCCACCCACTAGTGCGGCCCCAAGTTCATCCATCTCGTGGGGAAACTGAGGCAGCGGGCTAGTGAAGAGGGTCTTGGCCAGGTCCCTCTGGCTGAGACACAAAATGCCCTGCCCCTAGCCCTGAGCCCCGCGGAGGGGGCTGCCTGCAACAGCGCGCGCTGCGCCCGCCGGGTGTCACCCACGCCCTGGCGCAGCTGCGCCCCCCGCCCAGCTTCCCGCCCGCCCCGTTGCCTGGCAACCGAGGCACGGTGACATGGCGCCCGGGGGCGTCCGCCGCCCTCCCCTTCCGGTGCCGCAGGGGATGGGGGAGCCCACGCCCCCGGGGCTGCTCACCGGCGCGGGACAGGCTCCCACGGAGGATCCCCCAGCCGCCTCCCAGGCTCCCGTGCTCCTGCATTGAGCGCCTACTGTATGCCAGCTCCCCTAGTGGGAACTGGGAAGAGGGGGCGGTGAGAGCTTTGAAGCCCTCCCCAGGAAAAACCACTCCGGACTCCAGCGCTCCCTAGAGCCTGGAGGCCGGCGGGGCCGGGGTGGGGCAGGGCAGGCCCCTCCTACACACCTGCTGAGCCCGGGGGCTTGGCCTGCAGCCTGCCCGGGGAAGGGGGTGGTCGGCGCCGGCTCACGCCAGACTCCTCCCCAACCTGGGCGGCGAATTCTCGGCTTTACTCGAGGGCAGCCTCTCTCGTGCACCCCCAATCCTACCCCGCCCATCCTCCCATTCTACCGGACGCCCCACAAACATTACCCCCGGGACTCTCGCGCCCCTCCAGCTCCTGCTGTCTGGGTGAAGGGGAAAAGGACAAGATGGAGGGAGGTGAACAGAAAAGACGCAGCCCCTACTACTTCCGGGTTCTTCATCATCCAAGTTACCCGCGCGCGGGAAAATGCAGCCCGCGCCCGGGAAAAAAGCAGACGAACTGAGCAGGCGCGACGTGACGTCATCTGAGGAAACCTAAACTTACTACGGAGACGCCCCTGACACGCCCTTATCCCACCCACTGCCCGCCCATTTCCACGCCCAGGACATAAAAGTCGCCGCCGGCAGGCGTCGGCGCGAACTTCCCCGGCCCCATTGCTTGTGGACCGAGGAACCTCGCCGGAGAGCGCCGGCGCGACTTCCCTGGCCCCGCTTAGAGGACCGGTTGAACCTCGCCCAGGAGCCCTGACCTGTTGGTCAATAAAGTTCTTTCTTTCCTACCACTTGCCTCCAGCGCCTCTTTCCTGGCCAAAAGGAATTAGATAAATCAAGTGGTGCCGAAACCCGGGAGGAGACCCCTCCTCAGGGTCCCCCAAGGTCCGGGGAGCCTCCTCCTTCCACGCTGCGGACGGACCAGGACCCAAAGAACCGCTTTCTACCAATCCATTCCTCCAGGATCTCCTGGGGTAAGTGCCCTTTGTCTTTCTTTCCCACTCCTTGGCCAAGAAGTCCTGCGCAGGCCCAAGGCCACTTTTGGGGTCACCAGGTGACCCATAGGAAGCCTTCTGTGACAGAGACGTCTGCTCGGAAGTCTCTCCATCCACTTAAGGCTCCAGGAGCCGCCGGTCTCTAGTGATTCCAAAGGACGCTTTGGAGTCAGCCAGAGCCCGGTTTCCATTAGCCAAAGAAAGGCAATGGGTAATCCCCAGTCCAAAATTCCGCGAGACACCCCTTTAGGGTGTTTATTAGGCAACCTAAAAAACCTACAATTAGAGCGGGATCTAAAGTGAAAGCGACTAATTTTCCTCTCCACTGTGGCGTGGCCGCAATGTAAACTAGACAATCAGTCCCAATGGCCGCCTGAAGGCACCCTAGATCGTAATATTTTAATCGACCTCGGCAATTTTTGCCGGCGCCTAGGCAAGTGGTCTGAAATGAATTATATACAAGGATTTTGGGATTTACGCTCTCGACCAGACTTATGTAGTCAGTGCTCCTTGGCCCAAGTTATGTTGGCCAGGGCTGGGGTCCCCGTGGGGTGGGACAAAGAGGAGTCATCCTTCCTGTCCGACCTGCCCGAGGATCTCAGAAACTCCCATTTCAGACCTCCAGCAGCCGCCTCCCCTCCTCTTCCACCCTATACTCCGCCCCCTTCCACTTCCACCTCTACCTTGGCTCCACCTGCCGCCCCTTTCCCCGCCCCCTCGGCACCTCCCTCTCGCCACCTTGATTCACCCATATCCTCTCATACCCGTTCCAAAAATTGTTCAGGGCCTGCTCCTTCCCCCACTCCTACCCCTCAACCCCCTACGGTCCTGCCCCCGCTACTCGAGGTGGCCGGTGCAGAAGGTGTAGTCAGGGTCCATGTCCCTTTCTCACTAGCAGATCTTTCCAAGATTGAAAAACGCTTAGGAGACTTCTCTGCCAACCCTACGGTTTATACCGAAGAATTCAGGTACCTGTGCCAGGCCTACAATCTAACCTGGCACGACCTCCTTGTCATTCTTACCTCTACTCTAAACCTTGAGGAGTGAGAGTGCATCCTAGCGGCAGCCAGGCAGCATGCAGATCAGTTACAATTAACGGATGCTGCTGTTCCAGTAGGGGAACAAACAAGCAGTCCCATCTATTGAGCCAGAATGGGACTACCAAGTAGGCCAGCCGGGTCGCCGAAGTCGAGACATCATGACCCAATGCCTCCTGGCGGCCTCAAACAAAATAGTATGCAGGTGGCCTCAAACAAAATAGTTAATTTTAATAATTAATAATAAAAGAAATTATTCAAGGTCCAGATGAAAATCCGGCCACATTCTTAAATAGGCTAACAGGCTTTAACCCAGTATACCCGATTAGACCCAGCCTCCCCAGCCGGGGCCACTATCTTGGCATCTTATTTTATTTCACAATCAGTCCCAGATATTTGGAAAATACTCCAAAAAGCCGCAGATGGTCCTCAGACCCCCATCCAAGATTTAGTCAAGCTAGCTTTTAAAGTTTTTAATTCGTGAGAAGAGACAGCTGAGGCCCAGGGACAAAATGGGGCCAAACAGAAGGCAGCCCTCAATGCCCAAGCACTAGCGGCAGCCCTGCAACCTAATCTCAATCCCAGGCCGGGAGGTAAGCCTACTAAGGCAACAAAGGGGGCCTGTTATAAGTGCGGCACCCCAGGTCATTGGGCTGACAAATGCCCACAGGCCCAACTTTCAGGTCCAACACAACCGTGTTTTAAGTGTGGCAAACGCAGACATTGGGCAAGTCACTGTCCCAATCCTCGTCCGCCATCCACACCCTGCCCGGCTTGCCAAGAAGAAGGGCATTGGAAGTCAGATTGCCCCACCCTGAAAACGGGCATAGCGTCTCAACGTGGTGTCCCTTCTCAGGACCCTGGGAGCTCCTTCCAGCTCTTACACCTAGACGACGACTGAAAGCGCCTGGACTCGGGGACCCCCATCACCCTCGCTCGAGCCTCGGGTAACTTCAGGTAGCGGGTAAGCCAGTTTCTTTTCTTGTGGATATGGGGGCTACCCACTCTGTTTTGCCATCATTTAGTGGACCTAGTCACCCATCTCATATTTCAGTTATAGGAGTTGGAGCCACTCCGTCTAGTCTTTTTAGAACACCACCTCTTAATTGCTGCCTGGCCAATAACTATTTTGCACACTCGTTCCTCATTATCCCCTCATGCCCCACTCCTCTACCAGGCCGAGATATCCTAAGTCAACTGAAAGCCTGTATCTCCCTTCCTACTAGCTCCCCCCACCCCACCTGCCATCTACTTCTAGTATTAACTAACTCAAATGACTCCAACAACCCCACTAACCCTTTCCCTAATTTCCCCATTCCTATAGACCCCCAAGTGTGGGACACTTCCACTCCTGTCGTGGCGGACCATCATCCACCAATACTCTTAAAACTTCAAAACCCATCTCAGTTTCCAGCCCGCCCACAGTTCTCTCTCTCCACAACACTTACGAGGACTAAAATCAATCATTACTAGGTTACTCAGCCAACACATCCTCATCCCCACTCATTCTCCCTGTAACACCCCAATCCTACCCGTAAAGAAGGCAGATGGGACTTTTCGGTTAGTGCAAGATCTTCGTCTTATCAGTGAGGCTGTTTGCCCCACCCATCCATAGTTCACAATCCCTATACCCTTCCCTCTCATCCCATCTAACACAACACACTTTACTGTACTAGATCTAAAAGATGCATTTTTCTCTATTCCCTTACACCCAGACTGTCAGTGTCTCTTTGCCTTTACATGGGAAGACCCAGACACCCATGCCTCCACCCAACTGACATGGACAGTGCTTCCCCAAGGGTTCCGAGATAGCCCCCATTTCTTTGGGCAAACCCTTGCAAAAGACTTGGCCTCCTGTCCTCTTACAGATAGTAAAATTCTCCAATATGTAGATGACCTTTTACTCTGTAGTCCCACGAGACAGGACTCTCTTTTAGACACTGCAATCCTCCTTAATCATCTAGGATCCAGAGGTTACCGAGTATCCAAACACAAGCTCAACTCTCACAATAATGTGTCATATATTTAGGCATTGAAATCACTCCCACAACGCGCTCGCTCACCGCAGACCGTTTAACTCTAATACAAAATCTTTCTCCTTCCCAAGAAACTAAAGAAATCCAATCCTTCCTAGGCCTCTTAGGGTTTTTCAGACACTGGATTCCTAATTTCGGAATCTTGGCTAAACCTTTATATGCAGCTGTCAAGGAGACTCCCCAAGGACCTTTGTCTAACCCAAAGTTAATCTATAAACATTTCACTCACCTAAAAAACTGCCTTCTCTCACATCCTACTCTCTCACTCCCAGACTTCCAACGCCCCTTCCAGCTTTTCACAGATGAAAGACAAAAAGTTGCTATTGGCCTTTTAGTCCAACCTGTAGGCACCACATACCGTCCTGTGGCATATCTATCCAAACAATTAGATCCCACTGTACAAGGGTGGCAGCCCTGCCTTTGGGCCCTAGCAGCAGCAGCCTGTCTAACGCAGGTAGCGAGGAAACTCATCAGAGGCTGCAGCCTGACAGTCTTCTCTACCCACCGCCTTCAAGACCTTATTGCCCGGCCGGGCGCGGTGGCTCACGCCTGTAATCCCAGTACTTTGGGAGGCCGAGGCGGGTGGATCACGAGGTCAGGAGTTCGAGACCAGCCTGGCCAAGATGGTGAAACCCCATCTCTACTAAAAACACAAAAATTAGCTGGGCGTGGTGGTGCACACCTGTAACCTCAGCTACTCCGGAGGCTGAGGCAGGAGAATCGCTTGAACCTGGGAGGTAGAGCTTGCAGTGAGCCAAGATCAGGCCACTGCACTCCAGCCTGGAGACAGAGAGAGACTCTGTCTCAAAAAAAAAAAAAAAAAAAAAGACCTTATTGCCCACAAAAGTATCAGCCACCTAACCCCGTCCAGGCTTCAACTTTTCCACCTCTTGTTCATAGAAGACTCTACCATTGCCCTAGGAGTCTGCTCCTCTCTAAATCCAGCAACCTTACTCCCCAACCCTCTCAAACAACCCCATACTGAACACTCCTGTCCAGAACTTTTAGAGGCCCAACCACCTAGTCACTTGCATTTACATGACCAACCCTTGGAGAGCCCACAGTTAACCCTATTTGTGGATGGCAGTTCCTTTATAAATTCTCAAGGAAACAGACAGGCAGGATACGTGGTAGTTACATCATCCACTGTTCTAGAAGCTAAGCCTTTACCACAAGGAACAACATCACAGCAGGCGGAGCTTATTGCACTAACTAGGGCTCTCCTATCTAGAGGAAAAACAGTAAACATATACACAGATTCTAAGTATGCCTTCTTACTTGCACACACCCATTCTGTCATCTGGAAAGAAAGAGGGTTCCTAACCACCTGTGGTACCCCCATAATCAACAAAAAGCAAATACTTAAACTGCTAGACGCTTTATCAGCACCTTCCAAAGCAGCCATCATACACTGTAAAGGTCATCAGATTCCATCTCACCCGGTGGCAGCTGGCAACAATTTTGCTGACACCACTGCCAAATCAGCTGCCGGATTCTCCACCCCTACACTTCCTTCTGTTTGTTTTCTTTCTCCCTAATATACCCCTAATTACACCCAGGAAGAAAAAACCAAACTATTACAAGACTCAACAGCCAGACTAGCCACAGACAATTGGATTTACATCAATAATAAATTAGTTATTCCTAAAACACAACTCCACACCGTCTTAAGAGACATACATAATTCCTTACACATAGGACCCAGAGCTCTATATAACCTTCTAAGCCCCCTTATCCACTGCCCTACACTCATGAAACACCTAATTATAATCAACCAACAGCGCTCCACATGCCTCAAGTCAAATCCTCAAGGCACATTACGCAACTCCCACCCAAATCACCAACTCAGAGGACACCAACCAGGCGAAGATTGGCAAATTGATTTTACCCACATGCCAAAACATAAAATATTCAAATATCTCTTAACCCTCGTTGATACCTTTTCAGGATGGATAGAGGCCTATCCACAGGAGAGATTGCCAATATAGGGGCCTCCATACTCACTGAACACATTATTCCTAGGTTCGGCCTCCCACTCACCCTCCAGTCTGACAACGGCCCAGCCTTTGTCTCCAAGGTAGTCCAACAGGTGGCAGCCCTCCTCCACATCACCTGGAAACTCCACATCCCTTATAGACCCCAGTCCTCAGGTAAAGTAGAAAAAGCCAGCGGACCAATCAACAACTCACCAAACTCTCACTCGAGACTCGACAGTCCTGGGTAACCCTCCTGCCTCTAGCCTTAACCCGGCTGCGGGCCGCCTCGCGAAGTCCAACAGGCCTCAGTCCATTCGAACTAGTTTACAGCCGACCCCACACCTTACAACAGCTGCCTACCCTTCTCCGCTGGCAAATTACCTTCCATACTCAACTCTTTTGAGACAACTACTAAGACAGCATGCAGAACTAGCACACCCGCCTCCGATGGGCACTTATAATCCACACACCTTTCTCAGCCCAGGTGATCAAGTATACTTAAAGAACATCCAGGCCAAAGACCTCCAGCCCAGGTGGAAAGGCCCATATACTGTCCTATCCACACAGCAGCCAAGCTATTAGGCCTCACACACTGGGTCCATATATCACAACTGAAGAGGGGCCCCCCAGAAGGCGACAAGTGGGAATCAACTAAACTCACCCCACCCGCCTCAAGCTCACCAAACTTCCCTAATTAACACGTTTCCAGGCCTTTTATGACCATCCCGATTCCTCACCATACTGTACACAAATCTGGCAGAGTTTCAACACATCACCCCAGATCTCTATTTGCCCCCAGACCCCAGCCCAACACTGGTTCTCTCGCCTACTCACCTTTGTAGAACACCTCCAGTGGCAAGGCGCGTTCTATGCTTACTCAGAAGATGAAGTCTTCTTATTCACTTTTATTACTATCCTTCTACATTCCAACAGCAATTACTAACCCAACCTTTATATGGAGATTCTCCATAACTGAAACTTGGTCCTCCAACAACAAGCAACATACAGTTCTGCAAGGCACTGCAGACTGTTCACCTCAAGGCTGTCAATCTGCTCTTTCCATAAATTTCTCCCTAACTTCCATCGCTGATAGATGGGCTCAACCATCCATCTGCTTCCTACATGACCAGACAGAATACAATTGTAACAACTATTGGCAACAAACCAATCTGGGTTGCCCATACAAATATTGTAAAATACACTATTCAATGCTAGATAAATACACATGACAGAAAGTTAAGCAGCAAATATCTCTTCACTTAAGATGGAAGAAGTGACCCCCTTAAATATCATCTAAACATAAAAGACCCCTGGGACTCCCGATGGGCGGACGGCGTAAAAGGAGGACTTTACGGAAACAGCGTTTGGGACTCATATCCCACTGCCATCCTCCTAATAAAAAGGACACTTGTGCAGCAAAAATCCCTCCCCAAAAATATACAAGTCCTACAAAATTTAACCTCAGTCGTAAAATCACAGGAACAAAACCTACAAGAGCAGTTAAATCCCCCTAATAAAAAAGACCCATTCTCATGGTTAAAACTTGTCCGTCAAGGGCTAAACCTAACACAAACAGCTAACATAACAAATCTTTCCCACTGCTTCCTCTGTGTGGCTCTTGAAAGAGCCCCCTTAGTGGCAGTTCCCTTACCCGCTGCTTCCAAGGCTACAACGGACTCTACCGGCACCCCCCAAAAACCGTCCCTACTCCAAGTCCCAATATACCAAAACCCAGAAAATCCAATCCTTTCTTTCTGCTACTCTGCCCCAGACTCCTCCTGGTGTAATTACACCCAATCGCCCAATAGGACCCAGACAGCTCCTGTTGGAGGTTATTTTTGGTGTAATCAAACCCTCTCTAAAATTCTTAACCATACATCTATCAGCCAATTCCTTTGCATCCCAGTGTCTTTAGTTCCTAGCCTAACCCTATATACCAAAGGAGAAGTATTCGAACTGACTTCACAACTTACCACCTCCAACAATAAAATCCAAAAGCGGGCTATTTTTCTTCCCATGGTCATTGGGGTTTCTTTCTTTCTTTTTTTTTTTTTTTTAGACAGAGTCTCGCTCTGTTGCCCAGGCTGGAGTGCAGTGGTGCAATCTCGGCTCACTGCAAGCTCCGCCTCCCGGGTTCACGCCATTCTCCTGCCTCAGCCTCCCGTGTAGCTGGGACTACAGGTGCCCGCCACCACACCCAGCTGGTTTTTTGTATTTTTAGTAGAGACGGGGTTTCACCAGGATGGTCTCGATCTCCTGACTTCGTGATCTGCCTGTCTCGGCCTCCCAAAGTGCTGGGATTACAGGCGTGAGCCACTGCGCCCGACTGGGGTTTCTTTAGCATCCTCCTTAATAGCCTCCGGACTAGGGACAGGAGTGCTTGCCCACTCAGTCCAGTCCACGCGGACCCTCTCTACCCAGCTCCAGGAAGCCATAGAAGCTTCAGCCGAAAGCCTGGCCTCCTTGCAGTGCCAAATTACATCAATAGCTCAAGTGGCAGCACAATAGGCGGGCATTAGATCTTCTTACAGCTGAAAAAGGAGGAACATGCCTCTTCCTAGGGGAGGAGTGTTGCTACTACATAAATGAATCAGGCCTAGTTGACACCAATGTCCAAACATTAAACAAAATCAAAAAGGAGCTTCAGAAATTTAACGCCCCCTTAACCCCCGGACCACCAGTATGGCTGCTACCTGTAGTACAGCAGATGCTTCCATTCCTAATCCCCATACTAATCCTCTGTCTTATGTCTTGCTCCCATTCTAATAAAATTTCTCCGAGCCAGGATCCAAGAAATCACCCGAGTCACCTTCAATCAAATGCTCCTGCATCCCTACACCCAACTGCCAACCTCAGACCCTAACTACGCCCCTTAACAGCAGGAAGCAGCCAGCCAGACCACGGCGCCCCAGATTGTTATAATCAATAAGAGGTTGGACTGTCTGGGTGAAGGGGAAAAGGACAAGATGGAGGAAGGAGAATAGAAAAGATGCAGCCCCTACTACTTCCAGGTTCTTCATCCAACTTACCCGCATGTGGGAAAATGCAGCCCGCGCCAGGAAAAAAGCAGACCAATGGAGCAGGCGTGAGGTGAGGACAATTTGAGGAAACAGAAACTTACTATGGAGACGTCCCTGGCACGCCCTTATCCCACCCACTGCCCTCCCATTTCCAAGCCGAGGACATAAAAGTCGAGGCCGGCAGGCACCGGTGCGAACTTCCCCGGCCCCATTGCTTGTGGACCGAGGAACCTCACCGGAGAGCGCCGGCTCGACTTCTCTGGCCCCACTTAGAGGACCGGTGAACCTCGCCCAAGAGCCCTGACCTGTTGGTCAATAAAGTTCTTTCTTTTCTACCACTTGCCTCCAGCGCCTAAGTCTTTCCTGGCCAAAAGGAATTAGATAAATCACCTGCCTGGTATTCTGCCCTTCTGAAGCAAAATGTCTAGAATGTGGTGTCTACACTCGCAGCCTCACCCCTCAATCTCTGACGGACATACTCGCATTAGGCTTTTAAATTACAGCACCCCACCCACAACACACACATGTGCACGGAAACAGCGCCATCCTTTTGGTGCCTTTGGGACCCCGACCCTCCTGGGCATCCCTCCCGCCCGCAGGCTGCCCTTGACACGCCCCCTCAGTTGAGGGCAGTGCCATCCTGCAAGGTCAAAGTCCTTTGAGTCCAGGGTGACTCCCCAAGGACTGTGTGTCTCACCACCCACATCTGGCCCATCTGAAAACTCCCTGGGCTCTACCTTCAAAATAGATCCAGAATCCGGCCACCTTTACTTGCTGTAAGGGCCTCCACCCTGACGGTCTAGTCTCGCTACGACTCACCTGAACCAGTGCAATCACCTTCGCCCTGGTCACCTGGTTCCCTCATGGTTTGTCCTCCTCACCGCCACCAGAGGGCGTCCGTGAGCACCTGGGGGCAAGTCTGGTTCCTCCTTTGCCCGCAACCCTCCATGGCTCCCACTCCCCTCACAGTCAAAGCCCAAGTCCTCCCTGAAGCCCATAGGGTTCTGCACGACCTGCCCCGTCCTCTCTGCCCTTCCCTCCTCTCTGCCCTTCCCTCCTCCCTCTCTCCCCCTCCTTACTCTGCTCCAGCCACACCAGCCTCCTCACCGCTCCTCCAACACACCAGACACAGTCCTGCCGCATGGCCTTTGCAAGGGCTGTGCCCTCTGCCTGGAATGCCCTTCTTCCAGAAACCTGCTTAGCTCCCTCATCTTTTATTTATCTATTTTTTTTTATTTTTTTGAGATACAGTCTCGCTCTGTCACAGGCTGGAGTGCAGTGGTGCCATCTTGGCTCACTGCAACCTCCACCTCCCAGGTTCAAGGGATTCTCCTGCCTCAGCCTCCCAAGCAGTTGGAATTACAGGCGCGTGCCACCACGCCCAGCTAATTTTTGTATTTTTAGTAGAGACGGAGGTTTCACCACGTTGGCCAGGCTGGTCTCGAACTCCTGACCTCAAGTGATCTGCCTGCCTTGGCCTCCCAAAGTGCTGGGATTACAGGCGAGAGCCACCATGCCCGGTCCCTAATTTTCTTTAAAACCGCACAAATCCCGCCTTCCCCATAGAACCACCAAGACCAGCCCTGCCTGTCCCCAGCCCAGGCTCTTCTGTTTCTGTTCCCAAAGCACTTTCCACCTCGTTTCAGGCTGTCTGACTGACTTATCCCTGTGTTCACTGTCTGCCTCCCTGCCTACACCACCACCTCCACCAGGGTGGGGTTCTCTGCTTATGAATGTTTCCAGCATTGTGTGGCACACAGTAGGTGCTCAGTAATTATTTGCTGAATGAATGACCAAGACCAGCTGGCACGGATGGAGCAATTGCATATATGAGACTTCATTTCCCCCACATCATCAGGAGCCATGACAAGGAGTCTGCCCTTCCACTGCCCGTGATGGCACAGCTTTGAGATTAGATAAAGTCCTCTGCAGAGTCGCTCATGACCCACCCCAACTCACGTCGCCCCATCATTGCACCCTGTCATTTATTTGTAATTGTAAAATCACATGCACATAACATAAAATTTGCCATCTTAACCTTTGTATTATTATTATTAATTGAGACAGAGTCTCACTCTGTCACCCAGGCTGGAGTGCAGTGGTGCAATATCGGTTCACTGCAACCTCCGCCTCCCAGGTTCAAGTGATTCTCCTGCCTCAGCCTCCCAAGTAGTTGGGACTACAGGTGCCCGCCACCATGCCCAGCTAATTTTGTATTTTTAGTAGAGGCAGGGTTTTGCCATCTTGGCCAGGCTGGTCTCAAACTCCTGACCTTGGGTGATCTTCCCTCCTCAGCCTCCCAAAGTGCTGGGATTACAGGCATGAGCCATCGCGCCCGGGTAATTTTCGTACTTTTAGTGGGACAGGGTTTTGCCATGTTGGCCAAGCTGGTTTTGAAATCCTGGGCTCAAGTGATCCACCCGCCTAAGCCTCCCAGAGTGTTGGGATTACAGACATGAGCCACTGTGCCCGGCCTAAGACTTTGCTTTCTATTCTTTTTGGGTGTATACCCAGGAATAGAGTTGCTCATAGGGTAACTCTGTTTAACTTCTTCCATCTCTACACAAAATACAAAAAATTAGCTAGGCATGATGGTGCACACCTGTGGTTCCAGCTACTCGGGAGGCTGAGGTGGGAGAATCACCTGAGCCTGGGAAGTCGAGGCTGCAGTGAGCTGTGATCGCACCACTGCACTCCATCCTGGGTGACAGAGCAAGACTCTGTCTCTTAAAAACAAACTTTTTGGGTTTTTTGTTTTACATAGCAGTCGCACTATTTTACAATCTCACCAAAATGCACCAGATTAAACTTCCCATTAAGATGTGGGCCTGCCGGGCGCGGTGGCTCAAGCCTGTAATCCCAGCACTTTGGGAGGCCGAGGCGGGCGGATCACAAGGTCAAGAGATCGAGACCACAGTGAAACCCCGTCTCTACTAAAAATACAAAAAATTAGCCGGGCGCGGTGGCGGGCGCCTGTAGTCCCAGCTACTCAGGAGGCTGAGGCAGGAGAATGGCGTGAACCCAGGAGGCGGAGCTTGCAGTGAGCCGAGATCGCGCCCCTGCACTCCAGCCTGGGCAACAGCGTGAGACTCCGTCTCAAAAAAAAAAAAAAAAAAAAAAGATGTGGGCCTACCCCACCAGACTACAGAGTTACCCCATCCCAGCCTTGTTCCTCGTTTGTCTGTTAAAATGCACCATCTAGCCTGGTACACAGTAGGCGCTCAATATTTGTTGAACAAATAAGAGAATGTGGACCTGGTCATCAGACTGATGATAAGAGTCGAGGTTGGGGAAATTAAGGCGCTTCCTGAGAGCTAGCTGTATACCAGGGCGAGGGAAGTTGTGAACGGAGTAATTCACCCGTGGGTTTCACCTGGTCCAGGTTTAAGGCCACCTCCCCGCAGAACTCTCCTCATCCAGCAGAGGGCGCTTTAAGGTGATATGCTAACGAATGGAAATATAGGCAAATGAGTCATAGCGGGCCCCGTGGGGCTTTTTTTGGTCAGGCGCGCCGTGGACAGCCCTGGCGCCTCAGGGGCCTGGGACTCAAGATGGCGCCGGTACAGCCGCCAAAGGCCGGGCGGCGGCGCTGGCGAGGCTCCCGGAGACCGCAGGCAGGGCAGCCCCCGCCGTCCTTATTTCCTCCCGCGGCCGTCTGTCCCGGCCCAGGGGTCCGCCACCAGCCTCGGTCGCGCGGGAGTCGGCGTTTCTGAGCAGGCGCGCTGCGGGCAGCCCCTCCCGGGGTCCCTTGCGGCGGCGTCCCGAGGGCCTCCGGGGGCCTCGGAGCAAGATGGCGGCGGCGGGGTCCGTGAGGCGCGGGCGGCGGCGACCGCGGCGCCAGTGAGGGGGCCCGGGGGCCCGGGCGGCTCCGGGCCGGGGCCCCGCCGCGGGACGGACCATGCTACGCTCCACTGGCTTCTTCCGGGCCATTGACTGCCCCTATTGGTCTGGGGCGCCCGGGGGGCCCTGCCGGCGGCCCTACTGCCACTTCCGGCACCGCGGGGCCCGGGTCCCCGGCGCGCCCGGTGACGGCGGAGAGGCGCCCCCCGCAGCAGGTAACTCCCGCCCGCCTGCTCGCCTTGGGCTCGGCTCCCCTACCCGGGTCTGGAGCCCACCTCCGGTCCCGCCCGGGGTCCCCCTTCTCGGCCCAGTCCCCTCCCCACACGTTCGCGGGCGACGGTTTGCCCAGTCGGGACCGGGACCACCCACCCGGGGACCCGGTGCAAAGCACTAGATCTCTGTAAGCCTTCGTCTTCACGAGTATGAAGTGTCAACTAGGAGGACGCGTCCTACCAGGGCTGTCTAGAGGGCGGAGTGCGAGCGCATGTTGAGTACCGGGCACCGGGCCTGGCACGAGGGGGCTCGGGAGACGGGCGCGGCCGGCACTAGGCAGGCCCTGGACTCCTCCTGCCGCTGATTCGCGCCCGCCGCTTCCCGGACCCCATGTGCTTGTGGCTGCCCTTGTTTATTTCCAAGACGTTTTCAACGGCCGCGCCTCTGGCAGCCTCAGTCTCCAGTCGTTGAGTCAGGATGGTCCGAGGATCGTCTCCTGAGTGTGTCGAGCCCTGTGTCCAGCATGACTGGGCAGGGAGGAAGTCAAAGCTTACTTAAGTGGGCTCCGAGGAATTCCATGCTTTTGGTCGGGCCGAGGACGTTGGTGGACTCCACCTCACAGCGTCATGGTGGTTTTCATCGTCATGGCAGCGTTTCTTGGAGGAGATGTGGGATTTGGATTGGAGAAAAAGGACATCGCAAGGAAAGGCGTGGAGGGAGGGTTATCGAGTGTGATGTCATTCAGATTCCCCTGTGACCTCTGTCCCTTGATAGTGGCTCTCTGCTTCCCCCAGCCCCTGACTTCTTTAATCCTAGATTTCCTCACTGGGCGTGAGTTTCCAGCATTGTTTTCGCTTTTACCTCAATGAAACAGTCTCTGCTCAGAACCTTTTCCTTCAAAATAGGAATATCTTCGTTGGGAGTTAAGAATAGGTTTATTATCCTGTTTGGCCAGAAAAGGTAGCATTTTTTTCTGATTTCCCTGATAAGTGTGCTTAGGACACCTGCACCTGTGGGCGGTTGTTTGCAGGTGGACAGATGCAAGCAATCACTTGTCAGCTCCCCATCGCCCAGCATCTTTGCTGTGCCTGAGGCGGGGGATTCAGAGCCGCGTACGATGCGGGCTGTGCTCTTAGGGACCTGCCGACAGATGTGCCTACAGATCCCTTAGCATGGGTCGTGATGTCCTGGGAGCACGCAGCCAGCTTTGGCGGGGGCTGGGAGTTGGTGAAGAAGGCAGTGCGTGGGAGAGGCTTGTCGGAGGCTGTGACACCCGACTCACGATGCTCGTTTTCACCCTATTTTTAGAGACAGGGTCTCACTCTGTAGTCCAGGCTGGAGTGCAGTGGTGCGGTCACAGCTCTTTGAGGCCTTGACCTCCTGGGCTCAAGGGGTCCTCCTGCCTGAACCTCCTGAGTAGCTGGGATTATGGGCAGCGCATGCCACCACACCTGGCAAACTTGTATTTTTTTGTGGGGATAGGGTCTCGCTATGTTGTCCAGGTTTGTCTCAAACTCCTGGCATCAAGCAGTCCTCCTGCTTCGGCCTCCCAAAGTGCTGGGGTTACAGGTGTGAACCACCGCACCCGGCGCGAGTCAGGCTTTTGATATCTGTGCATCCCAAATGGCCCATTTGTTTCCCAAAGGCTTATTTTATTTGAGTTTTTTGAGATGGAGTTTCGCTGTTTTTGCCCAGGCTGGAGTGCAATGGCACGATCTTGGCTCACCACAACCTCCGCCTCCCAGGTTCAAGCAATTCTCCTGCCTCAGCCTCCCGAGTAGCTGGGATTACAGGGATGTGCCACCAACCTGGCTAATTTTGTATTTTTAGTAGAGACGGGGTTTCTCCATTTTGGTCAGGCTGGTCTTGAACTCCCGACCTCAGGTGATCCACCTGCCTCGGCCTCCCAAAGTGCTGGGATTACAGGCGTGAGCCACCGCGCCCGGCCCCGAAGGCTTATTTTTGAGGGTCCCTTGGGTGATGTAGTCTTCCTGTCTGCCTCACGTTCCTATGGGAAAAATGTGGCTGCCTGCCTCTTACCATGGTGTGTCTGCATTTCCCCTCTGCTGGTAAGAATGAACTCCTTTTCCCATCTCTGGTGGGGTGGTCGGGCTTTTTGTTACTGTCTGGTAGAAGGCTGCCTCCCCCGCAGAGAGGCAGGATCCATCTTCCTTGCCGTGAGGCTCCTCTGACCCTCTGTTTCCTCCTCCGTAACATGCTCATCAGACTGACCTCTGAGAACACCAGGGGAGAATGCATGTCCTATGTCCACCCTCCACATTTACACACGCCCAGTTTTCTATGGGGTTTGAAGAGGCTGGCGTGATCTAGCCTTTGCCATGTCCTCTCAAGGGGATTTCAGGGTGGACAGGGCAGCAGCCTCCAGAGAGGAGATAGACAGGAACGCTGGCCTCCCAGGATTGAGAGTGGACAGAGGTTCAGGTGAAAAGCCCTCAGCTAGCCCTGGAACACCTGTGGCGCCATGCTCTGTGCTGGGCACGTGCTGCATGGTGACCCTGTGAGCTATTTGCTGCTGGTGGGGAAAAGGGGGCTTATCAAGGAACGTGTTTTGCCCATACCACCACCTGACCAGGGCAGGTCTGGAGCCTCCAGGGCCTCTGGGAGGAGAGAGCATCTGATGAGGGCACCAGGGCAGGCAGGGTTGGGGAGGCTTGGTGGAGCTGCGACGGGAACAGGAAGATGGCCGGTGCTCCTGGGCCCTGGGTCACAGGCTCAGTGGGTCATTGGCGACGTTGAGCAACATACCTGAAGGACTCGGGTTTCCTCCTGGGCTCTTATCCCTGGACGTGCTCAACCATTTTATTTAATTAATTAATTTCTGAGACAGGGTCTCACTTCATTGCCCAGGCTGGAGTGCAGCGGTACGATCACAGCTCACTGCAACCTCGACTCAAGGGATCCACCTGGCTCAGCCTCCTGAGTAGCTGAGACCACAGGCATGTGACATCACACCTCACTAATGTGTAAAATTTTTGCCGAGACGGGGTCTCACTTTATTGCCCATGCTGGTCTTGAGCTCCTGGACTCAAGCAATCCTCTCTCCTCAGCCTCCCAAAGTGCTGCGATGACAGGCGTAAAGCACCGTGCTGGGCTGTGCAGCCATTTGAGAGCCGGCTGGACCTGCCCAGGGTGGCTTGGAGGGATGGTTCAGCAGCCCTTATGGCGGGCACCGTGTAGCCCTGGGATGCAGGGACGTGCAGCCCCGGCCTAGAGGGGCACGTTCTATCCCGGCCTTGAGAGTTGTAAATGAGCGTTACTCTCCCCACAGTGGCCGCTGTCTGCTGCCTGGGCCTTGGCTGCAGCCTGGTGGCAGGGGAGGGCCTTGGTTGTCTCTGTGGAGTGGGCAGGGCTAGATCCCACCTTCCTCCAATCTGACCTCAGAGCCCAGGCCCCTGCCCACTGCCCCGCTCTCCCTGTGGCATCTCACGGTGTCTGTGCCCTACTGAGAGGCAGGACGACGTTTTCCAGGAGAGGGAACCCTTACGGGGAGGATTGCAGGAAAGCCGAGGGCTCTCCAGAGGTACGGTGGGCCTCAGCCCAGGGCTTCATGGCTCTGGCAGGAACGCCCTCCCAGATGATGCTTCACCCAGGAAGACAGAGGCTGAGGGCACTGCGTTGAGGGAATGCTGGTGCTGCGCCACAGGCCGACTCAGGCCCCAGCAGAACAGTCCTGGGCCTGGGGAAGGGGCCGTCCTATACTGCCAAGTGGGTGGCAGATGTGTGTGCGGGGCACACAGCTCCTGTCCTCAGGGATCCCGCAGTCGGGTTCAGGATCTGGCGGCCCAGTGCCAGTGGTTCTGGGTGGGGCCATTGACGGCGTCCCAGCTGGGGCTCCAGGCGACTCCAGAACTGCATCTGTAGAGGGCGGGGTCCTGAGGTAGAGGCGCTCAGGGAGCAGCTCCAGGTACATGGGGAGCCCTGAAGCCCACCCGCCATGCACCCAGTATCTCGTGAGCCTTCCAGCAGAGTCGGGTTGGGCAGGGATCCTCCTCCTCCTGGCTCTTCAGATGCGGCCCCCCACATGGGCTCTGGGGTGCCTACCTCTGGACTTGGCCGTTGCCACATCAGTACTGGGCGGACTCTGCCTGTGACTCCCAAACAGCAGTGGGAGTGGCTCATCCCAGTTTACAGATGAGGAAACTGAGGCCCAGCATCAGGAGGCCACTCACCTGTGTGCGTGTGGCTGGTGACTGGGGGTGCTGGGCTGGATGTGGATGGACCGGGGCCCTGCCTGCCTCCTCAGCCGTTTCTGCTGCCAGACTCTGTGGGCTGGGAACAGAAGGAGGGAACTTGAAACCTTCCAAGGATGGGCCTGAGGCAGGCCTGGCTCTCTGGTGACGGTGACAGCCTCCCCTCCCCCAGTAGGCAGCTGAGCCCCAGGAGCCTACTGATCTGGCAGGGCTTGCCGGCTCTCCTGGGAAACTCTGAGGCCCCTGAGTCAGGTGAGAAGGGAGCAGGAGGCCAAGAACGGCGCCTCGCTTTCGAGGGTGGCTTGTTTTCATCTCTGGCCTCGCAGGAGGGTCAGGAACTCCCACTGGCCGCGTCCTGCGCTGCCTCCAGGTGGCTGGGTGACAACCGGGTTTCCGTGGGGTAGTGAAGGTGCCATCCGACCACCTGTGCTGCCTTGAGAGACCTGACAGTGTGTGCTCTCCTCGGTACGACTTTTCATCCGCAGTGAGCTGCGTCCAGGAAGGAACGGACTCTGGGGGAGAACCCCCACAGCCAGCAGTATTGTCTTTTGGTTTCCCAGGCCTGGCTGGGGCGTATGAGGACCTGGGGGTGATTTTACCAGCAGGTGGCAGATGGGCAGTTGGACCAGCGGGGCCACCTGCCTGGCCTGGAGTGGCAGCTATGGAGCTTGCTGGAGGGACAGTTGCCGCTAGGGACATTGGGGGCCAGATTGTCGTCTGATGGGCCATTCTTCGCATTGTAGGACGTTGAGCAGCGTCCCTGGGCTTCCCCGACCCCAGTGGTGACAACC